ACATCATTTTCTGTTGAGAGCATACCTATATGCTCATTTTATGTATCCACACCTATATCCTCATTTTATGTAGTACACTTGTGGTATATTTGCCATCACTGCCATAGTCATTGGTCTACCCTTTACCATCAACTTTTGCCCTCCCAGTGTGACCCATTTTAGTTCCTGAAGTAAATGTTCTCCAGTCTTCTTGCTATGTGTGGATGGGTCATTGAGGAAAGTGGAAGATTACAATGAGAGTAAAAAACAGTTCTGTGAGTTAGGTTAAGGACTATTCTTTCTGAAGAAGGTGTAAGTGATTTACACTGGGCGAAATGTTTTATGGTCTTTGTGAAATTATTACAAGCCGATTCATTGCTCACAGACATTAAAGAGAATGTCATCAGGGCTTTCCTTGAAATTCTTAGATAGCTTTGCTGTAGATCGAATGCAGTAAGAATTAATGTTTTCAAACCCATAACAACTGGTGGTTGGTTAACATGACTCCTTAAATAACAGCAATCGGCTTGCTATTATCCTTTGATATCTTTGCTAATTATCATTTGAAATTAAATAATGATGATTGGCTCACTGGTAACTTTGAAAATCTGTGTTAATTATCTTCTTAAATGAATGGGGAAGGGCATAAGCATAATCAATAGACTACATCCTGCTCAATAACAATAATCATAAGATACTATAGAGTTGATTCTTGTTATCCTTTGGGGTTTTGTTCTACTGTGTAATCATGAAAAGTAAACTGCTTCCACACTCAAACAGTAGTGGAAATGCAGGGTAGCCACCGGGGGAAGATTCTCACCCACTTGTCAATCTACAGACTGTATTTCCACCTGAAGACATGTACTTAATATATACCATTAATTAACACTGAAGTCGTGGCCAATAGCATTATATTGTGGCTGAAAACTTATCTCCACGTGTGTCAGATTTTTTCTAGTTAAGAATGTTAGAGAACACTTCAGTATGTTATTTCAGGGTCACTGTACATGGGAGAATCACTAATAAAAATTGTGAAATTAGTGAAAATTGTAGCTGTATGTTAACTGTGAAAGTGAAAATCCTTCACACTCTGAGAATAAAACTCAGGGGTAAAGAATCAGCTTTTCAAGGCCAGTTGGGAGTGTACTGGCAGAGAACTCAAACCTCTGCTTGCTCTGCAGGTCTGAAGGAGACAACAAAATACTGCAATATTGATTCTGGATATTTGCTTTTTGATCAGCTATTATTATTATTATTATTATTATTATGTGTGATACGAATGATGTCTGTGGCTTTGGGGGCATCATTGTAGATGCATTATTTTTGGAACAGAGAAGACAGAAGCTAAAGGAACTTTCGCTATGTGTCTAGCATGTATTGTGAATGCTTTGGAATACTCTTGGTTCCAGATCAGTGAATTTATGAGAATCACTGACCAGTGGAAGCGAGCTCCTGCAATGTAAAAGCAGGACTTTCATGTGTCTTTCCTGACTCTTCTTATCTGTTCTTATCTGTCTCCCTTAGTTCAAGGTGTCCTTGCCTGCTATTTATAAAAAGAATTCACTGACTAAGGGAATGATCCAGCTGGCTTTACAAGGTTCTGTTGCTAGGGTCAAGGAGTCATTTGCTTTTTCAGGGGATGAGAATATCAATGACCCATGCCGCACTGGAGTGAGTTGGGTAGGGGAACTCCAGGCCTGGCAGAAGGTAACTGCTGTGTTCATGTAACCCCTAAACCAACCGGAATCCACGTGGACATCATAAATTCACTAATAAATTCATAGATCAAAAGAGGAAGATCCCAAACTTCACTGACTGACCAGGAACTTAGACATAAGCTGATCACTTATCTCTCAGCTCCATTTCAGTCTACAGAACCTTTAACCCTAACTCCTTGGGGAGTTCTGGGATGATAAAATTGTTGCCTGGGTCCTTGCTTTGTGTTTTGCAACAAATACCTACTTTCTTCCACCACCTGATATCAATGATTGGCTTTCTCCTTATATTGTTGAACTTCCAACTCCAGTATACCTCACAGCAATGAATTTCAAGGAAATTTGTGTGTGTCAAACTTGGCACTGGTTTAAAAGGGAGACAAATTCTCTGAGAATCTGACCGAATGTCAACATGGTCAAAGACCATAAGGAGAAATACAGGTCAGGCACCCAGGCAACTAACAGGAGCAATGCAAATTGTCTTGTAAGCTGTCATTCTTTATATCAGAAAAATCAATTTTAGAAATATTCAATTGTGCAAAAATTAGCAGCAAAACATGTGTCTTAGGTCAATGAAATTCAGTTGTTAGTGTTAACTTGTACATAAAATTAATTACAGTGGCTTGTATGGAATTAATTTTTATTATGTTATACTTCATCAGCCATGCAGCTCTATTTTGAATGACTATAGCAAGTTTTATGTGAGAAGAAATAGAAGCAAACCATAAACTATGAGCTCACTAAATTATCAACATTTTAGGTATGTCTACATCAAAGGCTGAAATTAAGCTGTAAAAACTATCAGGCTCATTCTTAAACCAAATTTAATAAGCATATTTCCTCAGGCATGATATTTCTTTTCCTAATCATTTTCCTTCTGAATATCTTTATTGGTCACAGATAATTATGTTATTGTCCTTGATTCCAATAGTTCAACAGGAAAATCTACCACTCTTTTCTTTTTAATATCTTTATTATTCATGATACAGCTCCTTAGGCTCAGGGATTTCCCCTTCCACTCTCCCTCAAAGTTTTCCCATTTATTGTGACAATAGCTTAGTCCCTCAACAACAGTAACAACTCCATTGCTCTTCCATTTAAGTGTATCCTGACATTGTAGGGTATGGACAATGGTATAAAGTCCAGCATTCCAGTGTCAAGATATATTTAACAGTTTCACTGGGAGTCTTTTATTCAAAAGTAAAGATGCTTACTGCAATGTATCTCAACTTCATGGAATACTTGACTCCATTATACAGATCCCCTAGACAAATATACATATATACATGCTTAACTATATACCTATTGATCTCATATCTTGCATGAAGGCTGCCTTCTATCAGAGAACATATGACTTTTGTCTTTTGGGGATTGCCTTATTTCACTGAGCATAATGGTTTCTAGTTGGAACCATTTTGTTTATTTTATAAACAAAGAATGGAAGCAAACCTGTAATTACTGTGTCTGTGGGTGGGTGTTCAGTGTAGTGGTAAAAACACTGTTTAGGATTGATACATGGAACAGCATCCTGGTTGCTTGTCAGTGTGCATCCTGAAAGGCACCATAAGATAGGCCAAGTACTTGGATCCCTTCTGCCCTTGTGAAGGACACAAGCTGAGTTTCAGGCTCCTGACTTTTGCCATGTCCTGCCATGGTTATTGCTACGATTTGGATAATAAACCAGAAAGTAGAAGACCTCTGTCTCTTTGCCTTTCAAATAAAATGAAAGGAAATAAATAAAAATTAAGGGAAAAGCTACTCTTAATGATACAGTGCTCAGCATCTTATAACTGACTCCCCTATCATTCCATGCCACAGTACCTGTAGCATTTCTCTCTCACTAAACCAAAAGCCTTCGATTTTTATGTACAGTAGCAAAATAGTTGCACAAATTCTTGATATCCTCGTACTAATGCAGGAACTCAAGTTTCCATCATCATTGCTAAGTTAAGTAATTCATTCTCGGGGCATTTTGGATATGCTGTGTGATTCCATGATAACTAATCTGTAGTGTTCACATCCAACCCAATTCCTAAAGGCCAGAGAATCCTTCTAGAGTGAATTTTTGGTGTGGGATGGGTGTGATAAGTATAATCAGGCATCAGCTATTTTCCGGAGACCATGGGCTGCTAGCATGTGCACGAAGTTCCATGCTGAAGACACCTGGTTCATCACTCCCATTTCTTAATCGGAACATGATATCAACTGCTTTTCTAAATTTGGAAATATTGCAACTCTTGCCTTTTTTTCTAGTTAGTTTCTGATTCACACAGATGATTGTTTTCATGTCTTAACATAATGAGTTGTATATTATATAGTACTTCAACATAAGGCTTTAGACCTGCTTAGCAATACTCGAAATAGACAATCTCAGGAACTGGAAAATGGCTAAAAGTTTTGCTGAGAACAATTGCAGCTCCCTCTCCTTCTAACAACTGCTCTCAGAACTGAAAGTGGAAAATACCACATCGGTACAATACCTCCTAAATGAGGCACACACACATGAAGTGGGTGCTCTACATAGAAAGGATGAGAGAAAACTCTTGTATTGAAATTAGCACTTGGCACAAAACGGCATTGATTGAAATCATAGAAACAACCCCATTCCTTTTCTCAAAGAACAAAAAGACCTTATTGACATGCTGCCCTTGCCTGACCAAAAAATCAAGACAAAGTAATCCAGTCCCAAGTGCCCTGGAAGCCAGGAAATGGTCTTTCCACTAATGTGTATTAGAAAAGTAAACGACTTTTGTTTTTCTTGTTGTCAAAAGTAAAAATGTGTGTGTCAATATCGGTTCCTTTTTCTTCACCAAAAGGAAATGTCTACTTTTGCATTGATATACACATCAATAAGAGACAGCACATCATGTAATGAACCCAGAGCCACATGCACAAACTTGCATGCATGCACAAATGGATTACTACTGGTGGGATGAAAGCAATCATGTGTCTTTGCCCTCTTAGCAACACACATTCATCTACTCACACAGGAGTTCACTGAAAACATTCTCTTACAAATACCTTCATTTCATAATTCTTGTACAGTTACAATTCACTTATTTGTCAATATGTGTTTCAGTGATTTCAGGTTCGATTTTGGTTAAAGAGAGAAGACTTATTGTGTGCAGAAGCAAGGCCAATTTTGAACTCCCATAGTCCTTATCAAGTAATTTCACCTTTAACGCAATAACACAGGCCTGCCCATTGGCCCCTTTCAAGCTGTTTGGGTAACCATAGGAATGTCTGACTTTTCACCCTTCTCCGAAATGCCAAGTTTTTGATCAAAAGTTGCCAGTCGGTACTCACCTCTCCTTCCCGGGGCCAAGGCCTCCCGTTCTGGGTGTATTTGCTTTGATTCTGACGCTTCTTTTGCCCTCCGTCGGCGAATTTGCACAGTAAAGGCTCACTGGGGGCTGGGAAGACAAGAAACCAATTCCATGTGAGCAAATTCCTCTTAAAAAAATAAGTCATAATTTGAGTCACAGTAGTGCTTTGTAATAAATATCTTTTGAAGTAACATCTTGGTTCTGCAGAGATATTTGACCCCATGTAGTCTTGGCTGCTGTTCTAGCCAGGCTTCAAAATAGTGCTGGCATACCATAAAAGAAGAAAATAAATATTGCTGAAAAAAAATGAATCAGTCACAGCATAATGTGAACCTGCCTTAGAAGTTAAAGGTAAGCATGGACCCTTCCATTCCTGTTAGAGACAGATTCCCAGTCGCTGTTTGTGAGGGCATAAATGTTTCTCCCTTGGGGACTTCGCATTTTCACCATAAGAATTGCTTCTGGGAAGAGATGGAGCTTTGTCCTAAAGAGGGTCAGAGACACACACACAGAGAAATCGCAACCAAAATTAAAAGTCTTCTCATTTGTCCCCTGAAAGTTGCAAAAGGCTGGAAGCTGATCGTTCATTTTCCACTCCAATAAAATCTCTTTAGAATATGAGGGAGAATAATTAATAGAGCATTTAGTGAAGCCGGATGATACAATGCAGCTAAAAGTATGTCGTAACTCATGATTGTAAACTGATTGGGAGGTTTGTTACGTTAATTCATTCTCTAGGAAAAATTAACCAGAACTGCTATTCCAACTGAAATATTACCATTAGGGCCCGGCGCGGTGGCAAGTGGTTAAGGTCCTCGCCTAGCACGCCCGGGATCCCATATGGGCGCCAGTTCTAATCCCGGCAGCCCCGCTTCCCTTCCAGCTCCCTGCCTGTGGCCCGGGAAAGCAGTCGAGGACGGCCCAAGGCTTTGGGACCCTGCACCTGCGTGGGAGACCCGGAAGAGGCTCCTGGCTTCGGATCGGCATAGTATCGGCCCGTTGTGCTCACTTGGGGAGTGAATCATCGGATGGAAGATCTTCCTCTCTGTCTCTCCTCTCTGTATATCTGCCTTTCCAATGAGAAAATAATAAAAATAAATCTTTAAAAAAAAAAAAGAAATATTACCACTAGAGAACTTTTAAAAATATTTATCCATTTTTTTGTTTTCATTTATTCATTTTTAATTTATTGGAAATCAGGTTTACAGAGAGGAGGAGAGACAGGGAGGAAGATCTTCCATTCACTGATTCATTCCCAAGGTGGTCACAACTGCCTGGAGCTGAGCCAATCCGAAACCAGGAATAGGAACCACTTCCAGGTCTCCCATGCAGCTGTAGGGTCCCAAGGATTTGTGTCATCCTTGATTGCTTTTCCAAGCCACAAGCAGGGAGCTGGATGGGAAGTAGGGTCACTGGGACATGAACCAGTGCCCACATGGCATCCTGGCACATGCAAGGCAAGGACTTTAGCATTAGGTTACCACACTGGGCCCCTATTTGAGAATTTAAAAAAACCCAACAAGGCCAATTTCTCCCTTGGAAATTGATGTGTACAGTACATTCCTTCCTGAATGGAAGAAAAACCTACATTGCCCTAACCAATTTGGTCAATACATTAGTGTCTCTGGGAGGGCTCGTTTGTTAGTGTATGGATTTGAGTTAAGCACATATTGATTTTAAGTTTATAGTCTGAAACCAAAAAGAGTTCCTTTTTCTCACCCATTGAGAAAATGTTTTCTGTTGAAAACTAGTTGCATTCATGACCCACATTCTTGACCCTTCTGTTTATCCTCACTCCTTGTCAAGTAATATTGTACAGCTTACTCACTGATTATTAGTCTAGCCCCCTGGGAGTGCAGTATTGCAACTGCACTCCAAAAACAATAAAAATGAGGTGTCTACAGAGAGGATTCATGCATCCAGAATGGTGATTGTGGGGTCATGGGCCCACACAACCACTAAGATTCTGGACCCATCTCCTATGTCAACACCAGAATGAGACTTCCCTTTGTCCTTGCATTTGATGTGGTCATGTATTATTACATATGTTCACTTGCAATTGCCTGCAAAGAGCATTCCTGATTCTTTTTTTGGCTTTTATTTTGAGCCTGTTACAAGTAACCTATTTTGAAGATATCTTGTATTAACCATTTTAAATGAAAAAGAATCTTTAAAAATGCTTAAAGAAAACGAAAATAAAAAACCACTAGAATTGATTTGCATTTCAAATGTGTCATTAAAAATGAAGGGATGTCAGAAGGCTTCAAGAAGTTCTGGAACAGTAAATATTACCAAAAATGTATGAATTTTTAAAAATTGCTGGGCCAAAATAGTCACCCACCAAATTATAAGTACTCTCATATAACTATAGTATTATCCTTGAATTCCATGCCCCTAATTCTGGCCATTAGCTCTGCAAAGGAGACCATGTCATTAACAGGTTTTCCAGCTCCTGTATGAATCCTAAATACTACAAGGTAAAATACAACTTTCTTGATTAGAGAATGTCAATTTCATCTCCTTCATTTTTATCTTCTCCTCTGAGGCCCCCAGTGGCATAGAGAGCCATAACCCTTACCTAAGGTTACTTCTGCCTGCAATTCCTATTTTTCTCACCACATACACACCTCCCTTTCCCAAACCCTAAAGCTGCCTTCTTAATGCTGTTCTAACTCACCACAGAGTAAAATGAGTAAAATAATCTAGCACTGACTTGGCAGATTTTCACAGGTTGAGGTTGTTTCTGTTAAAAAAAAATGTTTTTTTGATGGTTGCAATGAATTTCCACTCTTACAGGTACAAAGTTAACATCTAAAGGGTGCGTGAGGATGGCATGCGTGAACAGCATTAACAGTATTTTGCATTTCGCTCCATGAAATGGGTGATACTGAAGGAAGGCTGATGGGCCAGCAGCAAAGCATCACCACTTAGGAGGCTGTTAGAACTACAGAATCTTGGGCGGCTTCCCAGACCACCTGAATCAAATTTTCAGTGTAACTATATTCCCAGGTGATTTGTAGGCATGCCAAGACTGAGAGGAACAGTTTTGGTTATGACTGATTTCTCAACCGAAGAAGCAATACATTTCAGATTTTAAACAAGAAATCTGCTGAATAATGTGATGATTTCAGCAGCACAGAAATATCGCCTACAGTTTTCTTCTCGTAGGATTATGATGCCAATTAATTTAGTTTAAGTCTCTTTTAGCAGTAGTTAAAACAGGGAATAAATGAAGAAAAGGCCTTTGTGGAAGTGTGATGTTGTTAAAAGCCACAGATTGTAATATATGAGAAGACATTACGGTCTATCATGCAAATAGGGAGTATTTAAAATATAATTATAATAATGCATGGCAATAAAGTTGCACAGTAATTATGAAGGAGTAATTGCTGTTTGCTTGTTTATCGGAGTACTTCTACTCCTCCAAACTTTGTTTTAAACATGAACTATCTAAAACATAATGTGATATAATGAGCCAAGGGCTTACAGAATATGCTGTTTTAGGCAAACAAACCAACAAAGCTACAATACAAATTTACTTAGCAAAGTTAAGGAAACACTCTTATTTCAATACTTTAAAAGTTAAAATCATCATCAATTTAAGGAAGAATGTTACCTATCATATTATAAAGGAAATATTGACATGGATTTTAGTTCATACAAGACATCTTTAAAAATTCTATGGAAAAGCACAATATGGAAAAAAGTACACATGAATTTGAAAATTTGGGGAACGAAAATAAACCTATTATTTAAATTTGGTTGGGAGGCGTGGGTTTTGGGTACAGTGGTTATGTTGCTGTGTGGACACTCACAGCCCATTAAGTCCCGGAGTTTAAGTCGGTGCCACTTTGCATTCCAGCTTCTTACTAATACACATGTTGGAAGGTTATCAATGATGGTTGAAGTACTTTTAGACCTTATTCCTCCATAAGAGACTCAGACTGAGTTCTAGGCCCCCGGCTTTGACCTGGCTCAGCCCCAGCTGTTGTAGGCATATGACAAAGAATTCAGCAGATGGATGATTCTCTCTCTCTCTGTCTCACTGCCTTTTAAGCAAATAAACATTAAAATACAAGATACAGTAAAAACATTTTTATGAACCCAAAGTACTCTTGTGTATACAAATGGAAGTACCTTGTACATATAGGTAGATGGATGCTAAACACTTTTTAACCACTCTAAATTACAAGTGTAGTGGTTAAGATATTTAAGAATTCATTATTTAGGAAAATGAAAAAAAATAGAGTAGGAGGAGCTGTGTGTACAAGGCAGTCGCAAGGGGAATAGTTTAATAGAAGCAACTCTATAAAATATTAGAGTAAGGAGGTGGAAGTAAGATAAAGGAATTAAAAATGGGTGTTTCTTGACTTTGTCCACGGTCTGTAAGGAGGGAGAAAACTAAGAAGGATGTTCTAATAGATGGCCATTGCAGGTGCGTTTAGAGAGTGCACAATGGGGTTCTGTCTTCGTCAATCACAGAGCACCTTCAAGCTTTGAAACCACACCCAGTACCAAGCGGCATTTTGAAACTGAGAAGTTGTACATATATTTTTTCCTCTTCCACATTCCACAATATTGGTCAAAAGATGAATGGGCATCACTGGGTTGGATTAAAATCGGGTTTTTTTTTTAATGTTTATTAAATGGAAACATAGATCGGTGAGGTGAACATCGTGGTATGAGTTCATTGAATTGTTTTCTTGATCTTGGTGATAATCTATACCTGAATTTGAGATGGGGAAACCTGTTTGTAACCAATAAGAATTCCTTTCCCTATTTATTTCAGTTCTCCACTATCATTCCTTTTGCTGCTTCCTGTCCAGCAGCCCACATTCCCCTCGATTAGACACCCATCATCAGTTGGTTCATCCCTCACATGGTTATAAGCATAGGCCTATGCTAGGAGCTTCATTCTTGTCTCCCGTGTGAGTGCCGGGTCCCGAGTACCTGAGCCATCATCGGCTGCATTTCCCAGGACGTGAGCAGGGAACTTGATCGTTAGTGAGGTAGCTGGGAGCACAAACCAGCACCTGTAAGAGTTGTACTATTGGCAGCGACTTGACTTGCTAGACCACAGTGCTGGT